AGAGGTAAGGCTAAAGTGAATGAGCAGTGGCAGATCATTAAAGGCCTTAGAGACCAAGTTAAGGAGCTTGGAACTTATGTTAAGATCAATAGAGACCACAGAGAGTTTTAAGCAAGGATATGTCATGGTCAGATTTTCATATCAGAAAGTTCATTCTGGCTACAGTAAAAAAATGGAATGAAGCAAGGGAACATTGGGGACAACTTAAGCCTTGTCCATACCTTACATCTGCATAAACATCTGCACATTATATATATGCTGTTCACAGTTATTTCATGTGCAATCGCCATCCAGTTTAAGTTCATAAAGGGTAAAAACCAAGATTTATACTAATTGTTAAACACATTATAGGTGCTTAAATGGCTCAAACAAAAGGTTGGTGATTTTACTAGAGAACTGTCCTGATATCAGTTTGTCCTACTTCAGTCTTTGAACAAGTTATTCCACTATAAAATAAACTAAGAATATAAAAATATAATAATACAAAAGAATTAGTAAGCTTTTTCTTAAAGACTTAGAAAGTAAATATTTCAGGCTTGTAAATCATATAGTCTCTGTTGAAACTATTTAACTCTGTCCTTACAGCACAAAAGCAAGCACAGACAATGTGTAAATCAATAAGCATGGTTGTATTCCAATAAAGCTTTATTTGTAGATAGGTTGCCATCTAGCAGGCTGCAGTTTGCCAACTTGTGCTAAATAAGAAAAAAGCTCAGAATTTATTATATGATGTAGAAGAAAAACCTAGCTCAGCAAATTCAAAAAGGTTGAAGACAAGTGACAAGCAAATATTATCATATCTGGTGAGAGATATCTTGAGAGTGCTTAGTTTTTGCTATTGTATGAAATAACAAAATAAAATTATGAAAGTTGTGGCAGATTTTAAGGTGACCCTATGATTCCTATTTCCTGGTATTCATGCCTTTGCATAATTTCCTCTCCTTGAGTATGGGTGGAATCTGTGTGTCTGGCTTTTCACTGGAAGAATATGGCAGAAGTGACGGGATGTCATTTCCATTACATAAGATTGTAACATCTGTCTTACTGGTTTTGAAGAAATAAGATGCCATGTTGAGCTGCCCTATGCAGAGGCAGCCTCTGGGTGACATCCGGCAAATAACTGAATGCTGCCAACAAACAAGTGAGCTTGGAAGCGGATCTTTCAATGGCCAAGCTGTCAGGTGAGAACTCAGCTCTGGCTGACATCTGACTGTCACCTTGTAGAGCACCCAGCTTAGCTGAGTCTGGACTCTTGACCCACAGAAACTGTGAGATAATAAATGTGTGTTGTTTATAAGCTGCCAAGTTTGTGGTAATATTGTTATACAACAATAAATAAATATAAAAATAAATATAAAAATACACTCATAACTAGTTAATAAATATAAAAATACACTAGTAAATAAATATAAAAATACACTCATAACTAGTTCTAATTAGTTGTCTAATCACATGTCATTTACTTGCTACTTCTATTACTAAAATTATATAGAGAGATTAACTTAAAAATAAAACATTCATAAATGTCATATAACTTGTGTTTTAATTACTGACAATTTCTACTAAATCTTTTTGATGCTCAGTATCTCCACAAACAGATCGAGCCTTTATTTAAAAAGAAGCTGTATAAACACTAAATATTTATGTCCTCCCTTTACTTTTGATACTTTCGAGTGTTTCAAATTTACTCATGTACTAGACCTACAGAAAACAATTTAAATATAAAATATCTCGAAGACTATTTTAGTACTAAGGAATAAAACATGTTTTAAGAAGTCTCTTCACAGAGCAATTGAGATCTTGCTCCCCAGTGTATTTTGTCAGTTTAGCTCAAATAGAGTAAAAAAAAAAAAGTTTACCTTCAATTTTCTAGGTAAATGTAGGAGGTCCTTCTTCAATTTATTTCTCAGAAAATCACCTTTTATGTATTATATTAATTTATTTTGTTGTACTGAAAAGGTTTAAAATAGACCTACCTAAAGTTATCTCTAGTTTTCATAGCTACACTGTTACTGAAACTGTAAATACACTACTCTGCAAGCCCAAATTCACATGCATGTACACACTTATACATACGCAGAATTGTCTTGGTAAATGTGTAATGTACTTCAAGAAAAAAGTGGTTAAGAAGTTGATAATCTATAGTGAAAGTTATTAAGGCAAATCATCTGCATGCTTTAATTTTCTCTTCTGAAACAAACAAAAAATCTTTGAGTGATAAGCAATATAGTAATGCCCTAGGCTCCTAACCACTAATATTAAATCTTCATATTTATTTTGTATTTAGAACTATTCATTTATTTCTTAAGGCAGATTTTATCTATTGTACAGATCATAACAAAGATAACACTCCTGTTAACCTAATCTTTCCAAGAACTTAAAAATGCTTGCAAAGTTTGCTTTAAGGTTTTCTAATAAAAACAAGGTAATAAATGAAAAAACTAAATTTACTTGTTATACATATTGTTAAAAATCTTATACACTTGGAAGAAGATGACAGTAGGGCATAAATAATAGAAGATTCAAAATAAGTTTTATGGAAAGAATATAAAGGCAAGACCTTTGCTTTATAATTTTTATTCTTTTATTTGATCACAAATTTAACAAATAGTTATTGTTTTATACATAGTATAATATTTTGTATTATACTTAGCATATTTTGGTGAATTGACATTTCATCAAAAATAGTTTTTAAAAATACCTGTTACTGTGTTTTAGTTATTCTTGAATTTTTCTTCATTATTCGTGCAAATCTCCTTGGTTAGATCAGCAAGTTCATTAGGTATGTGCTTTATTTCCATTTAACTGCAGACAAAGTCACTAAGCTTTCAGCCTCTACATAACAAGGACTCCTTTCCTCCAGCTTTCAGTAACATGGACCTCATTTCCTTTTGCCCTCATTGGCAGTGTCTTCAAAGTACAAATTTCCACCAAAAATTTGTTCATGGCAATTTATCCTTTCTCTCATATGCTCTTCCAAATCCTTCTATCCTTTGCCCAAAGCCACGCCCATACTTTTAGGTATTTTGTATGGAAGCATTCACATCCAAGATACCAAAATCTGTTATAAATAACATTGTCAATATTTGCAGAAGATGATTGCTTAGAAAGTTCAAGTGACTCTAAACTATTCAAAATTTGCTGGCAAAACTCAATATACGAAACTCAATGGCAGTTCCTTGTACTAACAACCAATGATAAACTATAACAAAATAAACACATCTATTATGCTATAAACTTATTATATTGTAATTATTTGCTTTACATATGTCTCTTCAAAAGATGCAAAATTCCTTAAGGGAAGAGAGTTATTTTATTTATATTTGTAACCCCAATGTCTAGCAAATGCCTGAGTTTACAATGAACATTTGTTGAATGAAGTATCAATCATCATTGGATTCTTAGTATCATTCACAGATACTTCCTATGGAGAAAATAATTAAAATCAGCTGCATATGTTTTAAAGCATTATAATAATTCTCCAAATTTTTGGTCATCAAAAAAAAAAAATCCAGGTTCAAATGATGAAATGCCGTTCTTTAAGTTTTACCTGTTTGGACTGGTAAAGATTAAAATGTTTGGTAATATACAGTGTTGTCAAGGGTGAGGGAACTGTTGATTGAAGTATAAAGTGGCATGATCTTTTTGGAGAGCAATCTAATAATATCTCACACAATTTAACATGCCTCAGTCAAGCAAGTCTATATCTACAATTTTTTTCTACAGATATTTACATATGTATCCAATGTTTATGTACAAGATTTTCACAATAGCATTGTTAGCAATAGAAAAATGGAGTTAACCTAAAATTATTAGAAAATGATTTAGATATATTATGCATACCCATATAATGAAATCCTATGTAGTATTTAAGAAGAATGAGGTATTTTTTTCTACATATCCTTTTGTATTTTGTGTATTTATTTATATAAAAACTGCATTTTCCCCATAACATCCTTTGATCATTTTTTATTTACTAAAAGATAAATTTTAAAAAACGTAACAGATATCGCCATTTCTGCAAATTTAGTATAGGTCATTCTAAATTTGTAATATTGTATTCATTCAGTTCAGAGTACAGCTGAAGAGACAATGCCAGACCAGATGTGATGAGAGAAAAACCAGGGTGAAAACCATGATATATAAAAACCACTTTAAGAAACTATGTCTATTTAGTTTGGAAAATATTTGAGGTGATAAGATAGTTATTTTCAAATATTTTAAGTGTGTCATGTGAAAGATTATGTATGTTAATTTTGTATTATATCAGAGGACAAACTAAGAACAAAAAATCAGTTATAGGTAGATGGATTAAACATTAATAAAAGGAACTTTCCAATAAATCATAACATTTTCAACGACAAAGCATTGCTTTGTAAAGTCTTGAGTCCCTTAAACTAGATAACCGGTACTCAAAGGGTATTTGATATCTGTCAAAGATTATGGAAAAGTGATTTGTGGCTAGATGGGAGCTTTGATTATGTACCTGCCAGGTTTACTTCAATTTCAAGATTCTCTGATTTAAAACTAAAAAATAAGGGAAACAGGGGTATGAATGTATATTTGAATAAGAACCATTGTACCTTTAAAGATGAACAAAAATATAATTTATCAGTTTGTTACTTTTCTTTCAATAAGCATGATAAAAATCTGTGATATATATATGTAATACTTATTAGTACATCGACTTCTCTAATTACTGTAATAATCCCACTCTAAATGCAAGATTCTCAAAAAAAAAACAATTGGCATTAATTTCAGTCTTTTTTTTTTAATGGAGCACAATGCCCTGCGAACATTTTTAAATTATAAGAGCCACATTATCATATATACTTGCCTACTTTATTTCAAGTTTGGATTTAAGTTAGAATTTAAGGCAATTCCTCTCTAATTGACCTTAACTCCTGCAGAGAGTTAAATACTTAATTTCTGAATAGGAAAACCTATAAAATCATTATGCACAACAGATCAGGAAGAGGAAGTATGTACGATGCACTAACCGATTAGAAGAACGGTTCCAACGGCCAATCCTCCACCTGGAAATAAAACAAAAACCAAAAAGAAAATTAATCTACATTTTCACATTATCTTTAGCATAAAAGTTAGGCTTTAGCAAGGACAGGTACTTCAATAATTTTAAAATTACTGTTGAAAACAACATTTTAGTTACCTTTGCAATACTTTGCTTAAGGTGCTATTATGAAATAATTATATATTATATGTAATTATACACTACACATTACAATTACTTTCATAATATACTGTACTATCCTTCTTTCTCTTGTGGTAGGACCATGCAGCAGTTAACATAACTGTGGTTAAGCATTCCAATAATGCTATATTTAGCATGTTAACAAATTAACTCAATAGCCAAGACCTAAATGTGCACAGTAACTACTACAGAAATACAACGAAGAAAGGGTATTAAAATAGAAATTTCACTTTACTATTATCCTCAAATTTAATAAGCCTTAGAGGAAAAAAAATATGATAATAAAAACTGATTCTTGTTCATTATGAATAATATATATATAATGTCCAATATGCTCTAAATATATTTTTGTCAATTCAAACAAAAAAGTCACAAGCACAAAATACATTTTCAGTATTACTAAAAATGTTCTTTTAAATATCTGAATTAGGATATGATCATCAATGTATAACTCAAGTAGAGATTTATTAAAAATCAAGTTTTAAGAAACTAGAACTGCATTAAAAAGTTGACATTCAACCACTGATATTTTGTTTGTAAAACATTTGTAAAATATTACTCTTTATAATTAATATTACAAACACTAACGAGTACATTTAAAGAATAAAATGTACTTAAAGTATGATTTTAAATAAACTATTCAAAATTGTTGGACAATTGAAGACAATGTAACTGAATGTTTTAACTGTTTTGAGGGACATAAAATTGTGAAATAACCATTATAACACCAATAACAAACTTTCTCCCAAAAAAAGTTTGTAGTGGCAAACGTTATATAGAAAAAGTTAGTATGAAAATTTCCTTTGATAATTTTTTTTTGCATTGTAAGTAGCATAAATGTTATATTTCAAAGAATATGAAATTTGGTAACATACATGTCATACAGAGCACATCTGGCAACTTTATGACTATAAATAAAACATTTCCAAATTGTTAGAGGAGAAAACATACAAAAAAGCAGAAACCAGGGCATTGTTATATTTTTAAGTAGATTGTTATAGTATCAAATCTGTATTTTAATTTCATATTTAGATAATTTTCTTCATATTAGTATTTGGTTATATCAGACTACATAGGATAACTTCAATTGTTGTTCAGACTAAAAGATTAGCATAAACTGAACTGTATATGGTAATGGCCATAAGAGATTGGAGCAAAAAAGTTTTCTTTGGGACAAGATTAGGTTAAATGTTTAATAGTTTATGCTACATATAGACCCCCGCTAACTTTTTAATTCATTTTGAACATTTAAAATCACACTTTTCAACTCTTACTTTCCCTTACATTAAAAAATAAACATTTACCTATTTAATCTCCATTTCGTGAATATAAGATGAAATATAAGAACATAACAGACATTGCAGTGTCAGTCTTAAGCAGGTACTGTAAAAAGGTAGTTGCCTTTCTTCCTTAACCTATTTTTTATAGGAAGGATTTAGATTTATCTAAATTGTCCTGGGTCCACATTCATGTCTTCTTAAATTAGGAATTTATGTAAAGCCTCTCTACAAAAGAATAGAGAATTAAATATATTTTGTGAATGTTATTCACAGGGGGATGATGAGAACAGGTCAAAGAATAGTTTTTCCAATTAAACGAAGTGATACCTAGGCCACTTACCTAGAACCCTCATCATTCTGGCAATTATTTTCTAATTAGCACAAATCACTGAAATTATATTGTTGTTTTATAAAAGGTGATCACCTAACTGTAAATTAGACTGCCCAGAAGGTAATTTTTTATAATAATATAATCACTTGCTCTCGATAATTCAGAAACTACTACTCATTTTCAAAATCTCATGTACACTAAAATTCTAATGTTTGGAAAAGTTCACTACTGAAAACATTATAAAATGGGGGACATTTTAATCACTTATCAGCCAAATTAATATCCCATCAGGAATTCTTTTACAAAAATGCAATTTTTTTTCTAATGGGCTCTATTAGTAAATTCACTAGACTCAGATTAGAATTTGCCCTAGTAATGGTTGATTATGGGAATAAGATGAATCCGCCTTATTAACTATTTTTAAATCAAGCTTTAATTCTATGTATATGAGGTAAAATGATTTGACACACAGATACACACACACATAGAGCAGCACATTTCTTGTAGTCTTCCAAATTTGACTTCAGTGTGACACGACTGTACACCATTTCCCCAAAATATCTCCATATAAGGTATTTTGATATACCTCACATGATATACTGAGATTCTAGCTATATTTTAAACTAGAGTAAGTTAGAATAAGTTTGTAGCTATGTCTCCAGCGAAAATTTAAAAGCTTAACCAATCATGACAGGATATCTTAATATATTCAACAAAGCTAGCTTTTAATATTATCTTTAAAATCAATAACCCATTAATTTTATCTAATTTCAAAAGCAACACAGATTTCACACTTACAGTTCCCAATTAAAATATAAATCTTTTCCTAAAAGCCTACTAAAATGTTTGACAGGTAAGTAATGACATAAGCAATGATATTTTTCTATAATACATACAGTGGAGTAAAATGGTCTTGTTTACTGCCTCCTCTAGCCTTTAATCATATCGTACAGAAATCAACACTTTCTATGTCACTAAGTAAATGAACATTTGGTTTTACTTTTTAAGAATTATATTTATTTCCACCTTACTAAAATAACAGGTGGAACATTTTATCAACATGTAAGATTACATGAGTTTGAAAGCTTGAGGATACTTTGCAAGTTTGATATTTTAAAGTATTAATTTCATTGAGATTTTACATTTTGTCTTAAAATTAGAAAAAATCTAATACTTTAAAAATCTTTATGAGAAAATGTAAGATCTTGTGATTAAGTGACAGTATCTTTCTATTTTATGATTTTTAAAATAAGGGAAAAGGTTTTTTAAAATTTGTGGGAATAGAAAATGACATCAATATTCTTTCAAAGAGAAAATTCAGTCCTAACATACTTCCTAAAACAAATCTCTAATGAAACTATAAATTTGGGGTATATAAGCTCAAATTAATATATTAGAATATAAAGACCCAGAGTGATGACTTATTTTACAACAAGTGCACTTCTTTTTTCAAAATTAGAAAATAAAAGGGAAAAGAAATAAAAGCCAGGAAAGATAACAGTGATTCATACTAGTCCTTTCCGGTGCTTTCTATAAAGAAATAGTTTTGCTAAAATTATAGAAAGGCATTTTAGGGAAAACATAATGTAAAAAACAAGTTCATATACTTTCTTTGGTTCATAGCAATATCCTTAACTACTTTGTCACACCTCAAATTAAATTGCAGTTATTTCATTAATAAATCTTTTTCTTCCCTCTCTAGGAGAATGAAACATTCTAACAACTCTTGATTATCACAATTATTGACTAGGCAAATATGGGAATCAAAACAGAAACAGCTATGAACATGACTAACATTCAATTAGCCTGTATGATGCCTTTCAAACATACTTTGCATCTATGCTTAAAATTACAATAATGTCACAGTGAGAATAGTGTAGATTAAATCACATGTAATAATTTTACATAGCAGTACAAAGAAATAAGCTACTTTTCCTTAAATGTATACCTGTTAGTTGCTAAAATATTATAACCAGGATTATTTTATAGTCCAAACTCAATGTACATCACCCCACACTCTAGGTTAAGATACAGTGGAACAAAAAAAAATTAGTCCACCAGTATGTATGTTTTGATATCAGTGTTGAAAAAGGTAGCTACCATTCAGCTTCTTCGAAATACTTTTCCTGGACTATTATTTACCCCAAGTCCGTACTTTCCATTCATTTGACTATCAAAATTTAATAAGTTCTGAACAGCAAAGAGGTTAAGTCAGTCAAGCCTGAAGTCACCCTTTAAGTATCTTTTTGAAGGATGAGGTTGGGGGATAATTCCCCCAGATTAGACAAAATGGTCCTAAAATGGACTGTACATTATATCTTAGGAAAAAAGAAATTCTGTTAGAATCTTTTACTCACTATAATCTCTTTGAAAATTCCTGGAAGAAGAAAAATGGAATATTTACATATAGTGTCATCAAATAACAACAAATTTCCTGGAAGGTAAGAACCTGGATTAGGAAATCTTGGAACTTGAAAAATTTAAATGTAGCCAATTTGGGAAATATGTATTAATATCTAATAATAAAATTGTCAAGATAGACATTTAATATGATAGATCATATTGAAAAGATGTAAATATAGGGAATTCTCAAATTTATAAAAACATTTTTCTTTTGGAGTAAGCAATGGAAATATTTACATATTATTAAATGACTAAAATTCAATTAGCCTGTATGATGCCTTTCAAACATACTTTGCATCTATGCTTAAAATTACAATAATGTCACAGTAGCAGTAATAAAATATCACTGCATTGCATGGCAGTAACAATACAGTACTTATTGTCACACTGTAACCACAGGATATATTTAGGCAACAATCACAATATCACAGTATAGTTTCATCATTCTGATAGAAGATCCTACTAGCATTACCTTTTGTCACAATATGGTTATTATTGGGCTTGTCACACACTGAGTCAAATAACATTTTAGAGTAACAACATCATCCGAATTGCTTATACCTAAGTGTATACACATTAGCAGTCAAATTTTCATTTTCAAATAATGTTTTAATGAAAAACATATAAAACGAAATTGCTTCAAAGGGCCATACAAAATAGAACATCAATATACAAATATGCCATTAAGAAGTTAACAACTAAAATACTTCTGCACATATGTATTATTTCAACTGTAGCAACTCCTTTTACAACTTCAACCTTTGTGCACTTTGAGAATTAACTATATACATGTAAAATATATTTAAAATATCCAAAAACTAATATTTCAATCATCTTAATGAAGTCTAATCTTTAGCATATGCTTGTTACAGCCAAATACTAGAGTATTCCCAAGAAAATCTGAAAAATGTTGAAATTACAGTTTAAGTTTGTATCATTGTAGAAACACATGGGGAAGTTGCTTTGAGTTGCCTTTTTAATGAGTGCTTCAAGAGATTATAGTTAAATCATTAGGATCAGGTTCAATAAATGGTTAAAAGAGTTCTCAAAAATTTGAAACAGCTGTAGGATATGCAGAGCACTAAATTTAGAGCCTAAAGATCAGCCCAGACTGTCACTGATTTTATGACTCTATTCATGTCACTTAATCTGAGTCTGTTTTTAGTGCTAAAACACATAATTCCGTCCTACATGTTGCATAAACTCTTGTGCAGGTTTTTTTTTTCCTACGCGTTATTTTTCTTTCAATCAAGAACTTACTACTATAAACTTGAAAAAATAAAATTAAATTAAAAAAATAATATGAAAGGACAAATAACGAAAGAACTTACTAAGAATCTAAGTGATGGGAACTGTGCTAGGCACATTTAATTATTCTAGTGAGGAACTGAAGGTATAACGTTAGAAATGTGACCTTTTTGTTCAGAGAGTTTCAGGATCAAGTGAATGACATTACATATTCTCACTGAATATACATATACACTAGAAACAGCTTCCAAATTTTAAGCTCAAATACAGGGTCACACCCAAGTAAGGCTTAAAAGGTAAAAAATGTTGAGATAAATATTTGCTAACTAGATATTCTGAATCATTTTTGTTTACAGTACTATGCAATTTAGGAAGGCAATAGAATTGAAACAAGTAAGTGAAAGTACTTAAATTTAAGTAGAAATAACCAGGATCCAGTTAAGGACATGAAATAACAGAAGCAAGAAATTATATTCTTTCTTATAGGTCGCTTGCCTTGTCACTTTCCTTTGCACTAAACCTTGCAGGAGGGTGGGGAGAGGGGAAGTACAGAGAGAAAATGTCCAGTGAAGCACAAGTACAAGCAATGGCATTTCTAATATTTTATGAAAGTATACAAAATTTAATTGAAACACATAACATTATTAAAGTTATTAAATATAAACAGACCATTTTTAATGAAACAGCATTCAGACAGTAATTAATTTATAATTTTTATTAACACAGCAGCTCTGTCTTACCAATCTAATCTGGTCAATCCCTTCAACATGTTATGAAAAAAGCATATTCTTTAGCAGGCTTCTCATGAAAAATTCTAGAGATTATATAGGAAAGCCTAAGAACTGCACTTTTCTCGTTAAAATATAAGTTAACTTTAAACGTACCGTCTGGAACGTAACTCTGGGAAGCAAAGTATGTAGAGAAAAATCTAAAAAAAAATCACATATACAAGCATTTAACGCAGAGACGTGTATGACTGTCACTCTCAACGACAGGCTTTAAGTACTTTGGATCCATGTAAGTCTTTAAAAATCATTCTTTTAAAGCCAATATGGTTTGTTTATAAAGATTCAGAACCGGGAGATAAGCAGCCTGGCGGTGAAAGACGGGAAGTTACTTTTTTCAGCATTTTCTAATGAAGCCCACCTCTCCCAATGACAAACTTTTGTAGGTTAGTCCAAACCATGACCTGCCTGAGGTGGAGGAAGGGTGTATTCAGAGACCAGGTGGGGATTCTAGCGATGAAGGCCAAACCATGTCCAAACATTAATTATTCCCCTTGACCAGAGTAAAAAGCACGTAGTAATCTAGAAAAAGGCTAGTGGGCAGGAACCAGAATAGAAAGTGGGAGCACTAAAACAGGTTTAGTTAACAGCATTTGGAAGTCTCCATGCAACACCTCCTCCCCTCCATCTTTTCTGACAGGGCTATCCACTCCACGTTCGAAGGTTACGGGGTCAGAAAGAGAGAGATGTGGGATCAGGGTAGCTCACCCAGTAAGTCCCCTCCCTAAGTTGTCCCTCTGCTGAGCCCAGATCTCAGTTCTCAACCGACCTAAGAGCTGGTCCAGGGCTGGGAGCCCGGTTGATACCAGCAGCTGTCCATTCCGCACTGACGGTCGTGTGCCCGCGATGGACACCAGTCGAGAGCCGCCGCTGTCAGTACTGCTCGCTCTAGGACTCCTCCTCTGGAAACTAGTGACATTGTTCTTGCTGGCTGCCGCCGCTATGGACCCAGTACTCCCGGTGCCGGTGCCAGTGCCGCTGGCCGCCGCTGCCGCCATCTTGGAGCTTCCCGCGTTGACCCAATAGGAACTCTGGGAACTCAATCAGTGGGCCTGTCAGAGCCAGCCCCAGACTCCCGCCTCCTTAGCCAATAGAACTCAGAGTTCCTCCCGAGTTAACCAATCGCAAGGCGTATTGCTGAAAGGTGCGCTCTACGTAAGGACAGCGGACTTCTGCGGGCCCCAGGTGAGTAAGGCTCGCCTGTGTTTTGTGTAAGAGTCTTCCTGGGTTTGGGGCTCGAGGTGGGTAATATCATTCAGTATTGCTCTCGTTTTGAGTGTCTTCACGTTGAGTTAAAGAAAAGGTCAGTGGAGCGATATATCAAGTAACTACCAGTAAGACTTTGCACCTTTCTCGGCTCATCTGTGAAGAGGATACATTCTCCTGCCCCTTTCTCCTCTGATTTCTGAGAATATTCGTTCCTCCTTCCCCATCAAATCATTTTTTGAATGGTTGTGTTATGTTTAAGGAATTGGAACTCTTACCTTAATGAGTTGCTTTCAGAGCATCTGGGCCCAGTTCGTCAGTGGCAGGTGGGTTGGAATTAGACCTTACAGTGAAAACTCTTGAGTTTCGAGACTGTTTGGTTTTCCTCCATCTCAAAGAGCAAATGACAAAATATACTTCTCTGACAAGTCTTCGTGAGAATCTTTCGTTAATTTTAATTAGTGCTTCTGTAAGTCTTGGAGCGCCTTTCCATAAGTGGTGTGAATGACAAGTGTTGCTCTGACAACCTTGTTCACACATTTAATTGTCGTTTGCTGTTAAGGCAGCTGCAAATAACAGAAAATACTTAAGGTTTCTTTCCCCAAAAAACCAATAGGAATTAGATGTGTATGTACTTTCTTTTTCTCGTGATTTGTGAACTCCGAATTGAGAAATTTCTTATTAGAATAGAAATTTTAGTGCGGCGAGTGGGGACAATGTAATTTAGAGCTATGTCTTTGGATTTAAAATTTTCTCAAAACTCAGTGGGTTAGGGGGAGTTGGTGATTTTTAAAGGCATTCATGATTGACAAATGTCTAAACTAAAAGAGACTTCCAAATCATGGCTGCCCTACAAAGTTATTATTGGTTTTGACAGCGATCTAGGATAGTTTAAAAATACATCCAAACCTCTTTGAAATTCTTGCCATTGAATTGTTTGAAATTTCAATGACCCGTTACAACTCTTTGGCTGATTCTATTTGAAAAATTGGAATTAGTATTGCTAAATAGTGACTGGAGTTTTTCATTTGGGGAGTTCTTTCGTTTTTAGGATATTTTTGCTTTTTAAAGAGAAACGAAAAAAAAACCCCCCACATTGCTATTGAACAGTTTATCAACTGGAAAGCTTAGTCAGAGTTTAGATACTTTAATTTTGAGTCTTTTGCCAGTATAAATCTGTAATCTCAATCATTCACTAAATAGTTGTTAAGTGCTTACTGTCTGCTTATACTTAACCTTGCCATTTTAGCCTATAGATGTAAAAATATCCTCATTTTTGGGGCGATCAGATTTAGCATATTAGAAAACAGAATAGCACTTGAACACAATGAACAATATGTGCTAATTTTGTCCTGTAGTAAATAAGTACTAAGATGAGCAAAAGAAAAAGTTACACAAAGCAGCCTAATATCAAGTAGAAACATCTTGGATGTGTTTGCTAATCTGAAAACCTTGAAATACTACAAATATTGAATTCGTATATGTTTCTTTACTTCATATTCCCTTGTTTCCTACTCTACTTACCCCTTTAGTTTCTAAAGGTGGCGTGATGT